AGAGAAGAAGGATAAAGAGAAGGGAACACATGTGGATGAGAAAGAAGAAGAGTTGTCAAGAAAAACAGTCAAATTAATTGAAAAAAATACACAAAATTGGATAGACCTATGAAAAAACACATAGTAAAGTAAGACACAAGAAAATACTTTATACAAAATTTCTAATGCAACAACAATAGTTAAAAAAAAAAACAAAACATTTAGTTTTCTCCTTGCTGAGGTGTTTGAAAATGGAGAAACTTCTCTCTGAGGCTTTGATTTTAGGGCCCCTAAGCTAAAAGGTGGTTTGTGACACAGTTAAGTTGCTGTTTGTTCTCTCTTAGCTCAGACCCAAACTGGGCCGTCTTGCTGGGGAGTCTGTGTGCTGGATGGGAGGGCAGTTCTAGCAGGCCCTGTGGTTGGCAGGGTCCCTCGGGTGGCCTGTGTACTCATCAGCACTGTACTGCACCCTCAGTCCCAAGAGGGCTGGTCCTTGTGCTGGGGAGAGTGTGTGGGGAGTGCCCAGGTGGCATCGGCAGACCCTCCGCACACTCTCTCGGGCCTGGGGGCGGTGGTCAGCCTGCCAGGGGCTGCCTCAGGCAGCAGCTTCCCACGGACTCCAACCCCACCCACCGCCATACCTTGTCAGCCTTGCCCCTTGTTCAAATAAAAACACCCTTTTCTTTTCTCTTCTTTGAAGACTGATCCATGGCAGCGGTGACTCCTGTCACCACCCAGTATCACTCCTGAGCCCAGATTGACTCATGGCTTGAGCACCCACTGATCCAGTGAGAAATAAAGCCTGGGTGGCCACTGGGTCTTGGGTGCATGAAAAGACCACGACAGTGGAGGGAGGGAAGGAGGGAGGGAAGGAAGGGAGGGAGGAAGGGGGGGAAGAGAAAGAAAGCTACAAGATTTCTAATTTTCTGTGCAGAAAGTTGAAAATAACGAAGCTTTCTCAGGTGGTGCTGCCTCTCCACTTTCACTAGATCTGGTGGGACGTGCCAGGTCTCTCCTGCACCTGCTCACTTTTCGGGGTCAGAGTGTCTTTTCTGCTGAGATTGTGGTCTTGCTGGACAGAAGAGCCTACTTTTCTTAAATTCCCTGGGAAACTTTCTTTTAGCTTATGGGAGCAAAGATTCCCCTCCCTCTGGGCCATGATGTGCCAGCTCTGGTGCAGTCTAGTTTTTTTTTGTTTTTTTTTTTTTATTAATTCTCTTTCTAATCCAAAAACTGGTTTTCTGGGTTTCACCTGGTTGCTGGCTCTTGGCGTTGCCTTCCGGCACTTTCCCACAATCCCTCTGTATCATCCTGCGGCTACAGAACCCATGTCTTGACTCAGCCTCAGAGAGCAGCTCCTTTACCGTAGGTTCCTTTAGAATGCCATTTTTCTGAATTTCTAGTGTTTTGGTTTACAGTGAAGTCTGTAATATTGTTTGAGTTAATGTTTGAAAGAGTCTAAGTTCTGTCTCTAGATAAATTAACTGTTTGTATTTTTTTCTGTGTTTTTGCTTAGTTTTTTCATTGCTGTGACCTAAAGACCCAACAAGAAAGATGTAGAGAAGGAAAAGTTTATCTAGGCTCACGGTTTCAGAGGTTCAGTTCATGATCAGCCTATTCCCTTGCTCTGGGCCCAAGATCAAGCCCATCATGGTGGAAGGAATGACAGAGGACAGCAGCTCAGGACATGGCAACAGGAAGAGGGAGAGAGCTCCACTCCCCAGAGACAAAATATAACACCCAAAGGCACACCCCCAGTGCCCTACCTCCTCCAGCTACACCCCGCCTATCTACAGTTACCTCTCAACTAATCCATATCAGTGAATTAATCCACTGATTAGGTTACAATTTTCATAACCTAATCATTTCACTTCTGAATATCTTGCATTGTCTTACATGTGAGTTTTTTTTTTTTGGCGGGGGGGACTCATATCCTATCCATAACAATACAGATGTCCATACTGTCTTTTCTCTTGTGTTTCCTTGGCTTCTTGTTAAAATTCAGTTGACAATGTTTGTGGATCTGCTTCTGGGCTCTTTGTCCTGTTCCATGGATCTATTTGTCATTCTCGACTAATACCACAGTGTCTTGGTTGCTACAGCTTTGTGGTAACTCCTGAAGTTGAATTGCGACAATTCTCCAAATTCTTCTCTTTCAGTATTGTGTTAGCTACTCTGGATCTTTCCCCCCAACCAGATAAGCTTTAGAAAAAGTTGGCCAATACTACATAACTTGGAAGGATTTTGATTGATTTTGCATTGAATCTAGAGATCAATTTGGAAGGAACTGACATCTTGACCACATTGACTTTTCCTATCCGTAAACATGGAATACCTTGGAATTCCTTGTATACCTTCTCCATATTTAGTTCTTCTTTGATTTTCTTTATCAGACTTTAATAGATTTCCTCCTATAGATCTTGTATATGCTTTGTTGGATTTATACTTATATGTTTCATTTCGGGGGATGCTAATGTAAGTGGTATTGTAGTTTAATTTTCAACTCCATGCTTTCATTGCAAATATATAGGAAAGTGATTGAATTTTGTGTATTAACCTTGTAACTTGCAACCTTACTATAATTGCTTATTAGTTGAAGGAGGGGTTTTTTTGGTTGTTGATTCTTTCAGATTTTCTTAAGAAATAATCATGAGTCAGTGAACAAATGTAGTTTTACTTCTTCCTTGCCAATATGAATACCTTTTCTTGTATTATTGTATTGAGCAAGACATTGGGACTTCTAGTATGATATTGAAAAGGATGGTGAGAAAGGGCGTCCTTGCCTTGTTGTGGATCTTACTGGAAAAACTTTGGTTTTTCACTTTTAGTTATAATATTAGCTGTAGGTTTTTAGTTTAGGATCTTCCCTTCTATCCCTAGTTTATTGAGAGATTTTTAAAAAAATCATGTAGGGTGTTGGATTCTGTCAAATACTTTTTCTGTATCTATTGATATTGTCACGAGATTTTTTTTTCTTCTTTAACTTGTTAATGTAATAAATACTATATGGATTCTTAATTTTGTGCCAACTTTAAACATCTGAAATAAATCCCTCAGTTGTGACGTATACATTTTTATACATTGTTGAATTTGATTTGATAATATTTTTGGATTTTTGCATATATGTTCACTAGAGATACTGTTCTATGGTTTTCCTATAATATCTTTGCCAGGTTTTGGTATTAAGGCAATGCTGGCTTCATAGAATGCATCAGGAATTATTCTCTTTGATTCTATCTTCTGAAAGACATTTTAGAAAGTTAGTATAAATTTTCCACAAAGAATTGTAATGCATTCCACTGCTGTTGTGTATTTTAAAAAAAATAATAGTAAAATTTAAAAAAAAAACTTGAAGCTTTCTGAAAAAAAAGAAAGAAAAGAAAAAGAAATCATCAGTGAACCCATCTGGGCCTGTTTTTTTTTTCTTTTGAGGAAGGTTATTAACCATTGATTCAATTTCTTTACGAGGTAGGCCTATTCAGATCATTTATTTCTTCTCATGTGAGTTTTAGCAGATTGTGTCTTTCAGGGAATTGGTCCACTGTGTCATGTAGGTTCATCAAATTCATGGGCATAGAGTTGTTCACAGTATTCCCTTATCATATTTTTAATGTTCATGGGATCAGTGATTCTCTTTCATTTTTACTTGTGATTTTTGTCCCTCCACTGCTCATCTTCCTTAGCCTTGCTAATAGCTCAACAATTCTGTTAATATTTGGGTTTCACTGATTTTCTCTATTGATTCCGTGCTTTCAATTTCACTGATTTCTCATTTTCAGTCTTTATTTCTGTTTACTTTAGGTTAATTTGCTCTTTTCTTTTTCTAGTGTCTTAAGGTAGAAGCTTAGATTATTGATCTTAGACCCTTCTTCTTTTTAAATATATGCCTATGTAGACTGATAAGAATGAAGCTTTTCTCTCCATTTTAATTTCCTCTTTGCCACGCAGAGCTCTGCACAGTTGTCCGGGGTGAGCATTCAGTGTGTCCTTACTATGGTAGCGTCTTTTTAGGTGTCTGGAGCCTAGGTTTGTCCCAGGGGCTGGGTGGTTTTAATCAGGCCCTGGCATTTCTAGTGCCACTTGGGGACCCACACAGATGGATCTAGGGGCTGCAAGTTTCCCAGGCAGGAGCCAGATTGAAGTGCTAGCAAGTATTTATAGGAATTCAGTGAATTGACCCTTTTATTTAATTTAACAGTAAATATACGACTTGTTCTATGTGCTGGCATTGGCCAGCTGTGTACCGCAGACACCTCCTGGCAGTGCTCAGCTTTGGCAGCATGTTGGAATCACTGTGGGACCACAGTATGGGCCAGTGAGCAGAACAGGTGCTAACCCTTCTTCTACCTCCCATTTATATGTTCAGGAAAAGTTCATGGGGCACACACTGTGCTCAACTCTAGAACTGAAAGCCCAGGAACACGGAGCACGGCCCTCCTGTCTCAGCCAGGCCCACCCTGTGAGGGCAGCATATATGCGCTGGGGCCCGGCCTGGGAGGTGTGGAGGGAGAGAGGCCACCTGGAGGTTCTGTCATTGAGGCTGAGGCTGAGCCAGGTTCTCAGGTGGAAGAACTTCCAGGCCAGGCAACAACTGTGCCTGTAGGCGAGAAGGGCACAGGATTCCTTAGACCCCAGCGGTACCGTGCAGGGAGGCTGGGCAGAAGCTTCTGTGAGGGAGGGGATGGAGACGGAGAGGCGTGGTAGCCCTGGTTGCAGAGTTTGGAAAAGGTTGTGCCCCAGTGTGGTCCGGATGGAAGGAACAAGGTGGACAGGGTCCACGGAGCAGTGTGCTGGACATTCAGGGCTCTGTCTCCAAGGGGTGGGCAGATGAAATGGACTGAATGGACCAGCTGCACTTAGTGACCAGGGTCTTGGTAGACAGCATCTCTGAGGTCTGGGATTCCCGAGTCCCAGAAAGGCCTTTGCCCTTGGGCCAATTCTGATGGTGGCTCTGGAAACAGCGTGTTTTCTTTTCTTCTGTCTATGGGACATGCTCAACTTTCTGTTTGCTTCCCGCACAGATCCGGACGAAGGACAGGGTCTTTGACAGTATCAGCCACCTCATCAGCCACCAGCTTGAAAGCAGCCTGCCCATCGTCTCTGCCGGGAGCGAACTCTGCCTCCAGCAGCCAGTGGAGAGGAAACAGTGAGCTGGCCAGGCCCTCTTCCAACGCCTGCATCAGGTCAGGAGGACCTGGGGCGACAGTCTCCCGCTCCAGGAACTGCGGCAGCTGCCTGAGGGCACAGAGCCTTCTTCAAAAGCCCCCAAAGGCAGGTTTCCTTCAAGTTCAAGTTTCATAAACTTGTTCCCAATTTATCATATGCATATTAAAGGTGTACATACCTATACATCCTGTATAAATTATCCCTCTATATTTATATTTTTTAAGACTAAGAAAGATGTAAGACTAATGTTCTGTGCTGTATGTTTTTAATGAAAAACAACAACAACAAAAAATTTTTGACTGTAGTTGTCCAGGCAAAAGTTTAACTCAACTGACCTATTCCACTGGGAAATTTTACTAGGAAGGTGTAACCTGCAGTTTTACTTAATAAGCACAATACAAAGGCAAGTAGGAGGTTTGATAATAAACACGGAATTGTAATAGAATAAGGCAGAAAGCCAAAAGAGTGTCTAACCCTGCATTTGAAGTACTATTATGAACTTGGCTCCGAGACTGGATGGGCTGGCTGACTCGGCCTCCTCCTTCCACTTCCTGGGCTATGCCTTCCCTGCTCCTTGCCCCGTGGGGCTCTGTGTGCACAGGGTTTCCACCACAGGACCACCTGCTGCAGCTTGACCATACAGCAGGAGATGCTCGAGCTCCTCTGGGTCCTGCTGAGCATGGGCACCTGTCACCCTTGACCCCAGTTATGTGCAGGGATTCATGTAAGGGCAAATATGGCACAAAATTAACATCATGAATCAAGATCTTGACTGGCAGATGTGGCTCATGATCAAATGAGGATGTGGGGAAGACAGCAGAGGCAAATTCTTAGCCAGTGGGTTGATCACAGGCTGCTTGTAACAGCTGCAGGTGAAACAGCCCCACACATACCCTTTGTCTTCAATAGAGGGAAAAACGTGTCTCAGAGATGCGGGGAGGGCAGATGCACACAAGTGTGCAGAGTTCAGCCCTGGACCCGCTCACTGGCCGGTCCTCCTGGGTCTGGGTGGGCTCAGGAGGAGGTTCCACCCCTGGAGTGAGGGATGGTGAACGGCCTTGCTGGCCCACAAAGCTTCCCAGAGGCTTAGAGGACAGGGTGAGTGCCCAAGGCCACAGCTTTTTGTCCTGAGTCTCTTCCTTCCAGATCAAATGCTGTCATTTTTTGATAGATCCTTTGGTGTTGGGAAGTTGGCAATGTTTATGATTTTTAAAAAATATTGGGGCTGAGATTGCCCTGTTGTCTTTTCAAAATAGTTGGATGATTCCGTCATTGGTTGATACCTCCTCTAGTGTCACCCTGGTCTTGGTGAGGTCCTGTTAGCACATGTCATCCCTGGCCAGTTGAATTGAATGATTCTCTGTTCATAACCAAGAGCTGGGTCATGTAAAACTAGATGCTTGGAGAGGAATTAAGAGGACACTTAAGTATATCTGGTGAGTCATGTTTTGTGAAGTTCTAATGCTGAGTATGTGAACTCCACTTCTGCTTTGGGAATGTGTGGAGTTAATAGATGAGGATGGACTGGGTAAGTCCCAAACTTCATACAAGCAGCCTTCTTTGGAGGTTTTGTCCTTGAAGGGTCTAAAGAATCCAAGCTGATGGCTGAGTTAGTCTTCTAGAATGTTCTGTGGTGAACTGGAACTCTGGAGAGCCTGGCACTAATGTAGACCACCTTGCACTTCCTATGCTGTTGATTTCAGGCACAGCCTGGACACCCCACTCCATGTCATCCAGTGGCAATGGCACTGACAAAGTGGCTGGTAGCAGCTGCTCAGGCTCCTGCCTTGTGACCACGTAGGCTTTGGGGTAGCTCATGTCTGTCCCCTGGGAAGCTGTCCCCAGTACACACATATTCTGTTCTGATCCTCCTGTGTGAGCATCTACTATACATAAAAAGGTTGTGCAATTATCTTCTTTGAACATCCTTTCATCTCTTACTTGTGAAAGGCCAGAAACTTTATTTTCAGTGGCACTAGCATAATAGAAAACCAAAGCTAAGAACCATTTTATTTTATTTTCTTCTTGGGGGAGTAAGAAGTCCATGGTTCTAGTAGCCCTCTTAGCTGAAGTCAGTGTTGGTTTAGTGGATGATAGACAGCATATATTTTTTTCCTGCATGGAAATCAATTTATAAAATCCAAAGTATTGGGATTGAATCTTTTTACATTTCACTATTAATTTAAAATATGTGATTTGGATTTCAGATGACAAGATTGGTTACACGGAAATAATGCCCAGTCAAAATAACCCCATTTCCTTTTAGCAACGACATCTCAAAGCAGATTTGAGATGTGGCGAATGACAGGGATCTTCTAATCTCCTTTCCCTTCATTCTGTAAGCTTGGTAATGTACCCACGGGTCATCGCATCTCTTCTGCCACATTCCTTCCAAGGAATGTGATGGGGCATTCCCAGGAGTCTCACTCCCATGTGGGCAATGGAGGCTTGCTCCAGGTCATGCATCCAGTTGGCAACAGAGCTATGCTGCTCATCCGGTGTTTCCGGAGCTCTGCCGTGTGCCAGCCTGTGCTTGGAGCTGAGGATTTGGAGGCACACCTAATGGAGCCTCCTCCCTCCCCAGCCTGGGCTCTGCTTCCCCATGAATCTCAGACTGCATTTCTGCCTGGGTGGGGCAGGGTGGCAGATCAGCACTCCTGGTGCATTACGGAGCTTTGACTCCCTGGGCACAGTAGCCACAGTCTGTGCCAGGCCACCCTGGGCCTGTAGGAGTATGCCAGAGCCCTCTCTCCTTCTCATGAGCACTTCCCGCCACCCCACCCAGAACTCTGCTTCTTCTAGGAGTGCCAGATGGGGCCTAGCAGTCTTAAAATGCCCTTCTCTGCTCTGGCACAGTGACCCTGGAGACCCATGCCCACCCCCTCCAACCTCTGCCCGCCTAGGTGAATAACCTGTTCTTCAGATGACATCTCTGTCCCACTGAAGCTGGCTGGGGCTTCCATGGGGTTGCTCATTGTGGTCTAAGTCAGCTTTGATTCAGGCTGTCCCTGAAGAGGCTCCCTGTAGCATCAGGTGAGCCGGCTGACAAATGACAGGATCTCATGACTCAATCTTAAATCCCAAGCTTAAGTCACCATGGGTGGGGCTTCTGACATTTGCAGGACCACAGGTCTGGGTTCCTGCTCAACCTGCATGAGTGACTGTTCTGTGTAAGGCCATCTTGGATGTTGGGGTAAACGGACCAAGGTCCCATCGGTTCAGGTATGATGGTGTCCTTGAGGCTTGCCTGGTGGCAGAGGGAGTCACAGATAATTTTTAATGAAGACAAAAACTGATAGGCCCTGAGTGGAGGTAAAGGCCCAGCTTGGAGGAAGGGACAGGACCTTTGAGGAGTGAACCCAAGATGACCTATCAGCTTCGGGTCATTGTTGACACATGTCTGGCCTCCTTACCTCTCGAGGGTTCTGAAGATGCCCAGCTGCTGCAATGAAGCTTTTCTTCCTAGGATGACCCCATTATCTAAGTGAGGTTCAGGGCAGTTCCAGTTCTCATTTCCTCTGTGGTGGCTGCTACATGAACGCCAGTTGGGCTGAGTAGAAGCCTACACCACAGACATCTCGGGGGTAGTGCCAGCAGCAGGTGGACACCCCTGTCTATCCTCAGCCCCGGCATGCCTGGCATGACACGGCCTTGGGCATATCAGTAGCTGGATTCCTCTGAGCCATGGCTAGCTCCACACCACCAAGTGGCTGCACAGAGTCCCCATGTGAGAGTGTCGGGAGTGATGAATGTGTAATGTGTCAACAGATACTTGCTGAGATTCTTCATTCACAAAAGCGCACATCAGTTCTCTCTCACTGGCCCAAGGTTGCATGCCATCTGTAAATCCCTCTCTGTAGATGGTGACAGCCAGATTGGAAGTGGATAGGAGGATCTGGAAAGACTGCAAATCACTGCACCCAGACAAGGCTTTGCGGTGGGTTTCAGAATAGCACTCTGGTTCTCGTGGAACTTCTGAAGTGTTTTCTAAGAAAGGCAAAGAAGGAGAATCCCATTCCTGGAACACAGTGAGAACCTAGACCTGGTGGCTTCTTACAGGATAACAAGGGAGCTTTACAGGATGGTCCAGTTGGAAGGGACCCATGTTTTTGCAGATGAGGAAACTGGAGCTAGGGGCCCTTCTGGAAAATGGCCGTAGTCAGTGGATGAATCTAGGAAAGAACGCAGGACATACTAAGGTCCTCTAGGGCTTGCACATGATGCTCAGCCCCGTGAAAATGGCAAGAAGTGCTTCTGTCCTCCGGCCTTCCCTCCATGTGCCATGTCAGAAGGCACAAAGCCCGAGTCCTTCAGGTGGAAGGGGCGGTGCTCCTATTTCCTCTGACTTAGTTGGGGTTCTTTGGGAAGCAGAACCTGAAGAGGCTTCGAGCGTATCTAATTTATTTGGGAAATGATCTCAGCAGTAGTGGGGAAGGAAGATAGTAAGGTGGCATTGTCAAGTTTCCATGATTGTGGACACTGGGACATCACCACTGGGAGGCCTGGGAGACACCTCAGAAGCAGCCCAGTGCGGGGCACAGGGGTGGAAAGTGAGCCTTTATTCACCAAGCCCATCACTGGTTGAAGGCTGTTTTTCGGGACAGTTTCTGATCATCCCTGAGTACACCTGAGCACACTTGGCCATCTAGGAAGTCCTTGGGCAGAGACAGATGTTCTTAGTAAACAAACTTGGCATGAAAGGCAGGCATTAGAACCACCTGACTTGCTGGTTCACCCACAAATTACAGCATTCTGCAGCCTGCTTCCATCCCTGACTCAGTGGATCAGGACTGAGGCCTGAGCCTTTGCATTTCCAACACACAAGGTGATATTGGTGCAGCTGATTGTCTTTGAGAGTTTTTGTCATTTATTGGTGGCTTCCCCCCACCCTCTGTTTTATGATGAAGTCTTCATACCCTTTTTGTGTCGTAGTTCCCAGGGTCCATGCTGTGAATTCAAAAGCAGAGGATTAATAAGCACTTACAAACTCCACGCAACCATTGCTGGTAGATAAAAACACCATCTACCAGCCACGATTTATTTATAATGGGGTTTACACATATTTATAAAGTTTGCAAGCAACAAATGCACAGTTTTAAAACTGGCACCTTTTATAGCAGTCAGAAAAATTGCAACTTTATACCAGGACCTGTGAATGTGAATTGCACATGTATATTCACATGTATAGATACTTGTGTTGGTTTAAACAGATATGCCTTTGTGTGTGCCTGTGTGTGTGTGCATGTGTACCCACGTGCAGGTGGGTTCTCTGCTGAGCA